TCAATGGTATAAACATTGCCTTATCCCACCACCAGCACAGAGACTGTGTTATTCTGTTTGAAAAGAGTGCTGGTGAATCGGATCGAAGACGATCGAGTGTTTGCAAAATAAGATGAGTGTCACAGTACACATCAGCACACGCCGATAACCACCTGTTAGAGCCTCAAGATGAGGTCATGGAGGTATTCAATCAATGATCACGGAACGCCAATTCAACTTCTTTAAACCCATTGCCATTCGTACTTTCTCGGCGAATGGTGATTGTGGATAGTGATACAGAATCAATTCTTCGGATATACTTGCAATACTGTCAACTACGAGAAAATATTGACTAGTAAATACATAAACATGATAGATTTATTACATACATCACAGCAAGTAAAGACAAGAAAAAAGATATAACTGTTACAAATGATAAGAACACAAAATGACTACAGTATGTGTCGTATGACACTAATAAAAATACAGAAAAAAGATTTATAGAGGGTAGTTGTGAACGCGTGCCCGAGGAGTTCGACCGAGCGCTTTGTTTTTGAAAAGCATGGACTTTTGCTAGTGAAATTAGTTGGTCTTCTGTCACTTTACATAGTATAAAAATTCAATCTATTAATTCACCTTCTGCTTTACGGACATTCGGATAGCCTTGAATGAATGGTCGTTCTTTGCGCATCTGACATTATTTACGTCCATATATAAAATCTAGGGGAAAACAGCAAAGTTTTCTACTTGAAGTTATTTTACGCTACTTTAGAGTATTTGAAGCTACTTTAAAGTACTTGTCGCGTACTTTGCACTCCTTTAAGTTACTTTAAAATACTTTGAACCAGTTCAGGCTACTTTAATTCACTTTGAACTACTTCAAGTTTACTTTCAATACTTTGAAGTACTTTTAGCCACTTTGCGATATTTTCCGCCATATCGAAGTACTTTAAACAACTTTAAACCACTATAAAGTACTTCAGAATTTCTCCTTATATTAGATCTCAATCAGCCCAAGGCCAAAATTTCTCAGTAACAGAACACATTGGTTCCGTTGTTCGGAAACGGTTTTCCCAAAATAGAACAAAAATGTTCTGCTAATGAGAGCTTTTGACCTTGAATCGGCTGAGATCTACTAATAAGTAGTCTATGTATTCGAAGAGTGTAGGTGTGGCTGTGGGTCTGAGTGTGGAATTTCCATTTTCTTATATTCACACCCACACCCACACTCACACCCATCCACATCCAGATTCAAAAGTACGGGGTCGGTTCCGGCAGTAAAACACCAGAAATCACTGGAGTATGGAAACAGTATTCCGGTCGGAAATGTTTTGGTGAGCTGCGGCCAATTTCCTATTCTTCCCAATAGGAACCGGCAGGAAATCATTAGAAAAAAATCCTGAAAATTTTTGACCGGAGTACGGATTCCATGTTTCAGCTATTTTCAGTATTTTTCTGCCGGATGCGGTGATTTTCCGGAATATATCATGCCTGTTCCAGTAAAATCCGATTATCTTCAGAGGTCGGAATTATCAACCTGGGCGTCCGCATCCTCACCTACACCCACACACCCCACACTCAATCACATCCACACCTCTCATAGTTCACTTTGGCAAGAGTTAGTAACAACTCTGGAGTGAGCGTAATCCACTGCAGTACCACTTGTGACTTTGCCATGACTTTTTATTATGCGAAGCCTACTCCTTTCTTTTCTAAAAATTGGCTAGTCCGATCAAATTGCGGTACAAAACAAGCAATCTGTCTGGCAACGTGTTCATCAATCTTTGTTCACGCATCCATTCAAGACCATGTTCCATGATATCTGTCTCGACGAGATTTCCACCCATAATGGCTCCCATGCTGGCATGGATGGTCGCGCGCTTTGATTCTTTACTGTAGTCTGCTCGGTGTAGGATATTGTTGTTGTAGAACACAGTTTGACCAGCTTGAAGCTTTACACAAATAGCGCCGGGCATTTTGTCATTGGAGTAAGGATGCTGCAGAACAGCATCACGTTCTTCGGGTGTCAACAAACGCGAATGAGAACGTGGAACCACGAACAAACAATTGTCGTCGTACAGGGCAGTATTCCATTGAACGCCGAAGTAAGGAATTTTAAGACACTTGGCCTCCTCTTCCTCATCCGCATCAAGCTGTATTCGATCCCGATGCCAGGGAAGTGAGTAGTCCGAATAGATTGGATTGATCAAGAGGTTGACAAGTTCTGGATTGTCAAAACAACATTAGTACATCAGTTGAAAGATGGTAAAGGAAACAAAAAGTACTTACGAAGTTGTAACTCGTCTTCTTTGACCGCCAATAGTTCTTTCAAGGTCGAAAGAAGATTGTCGCTGCCGTACCACTGGGCGAAGATCGGCTCACCTAAGTCTGGGTGCAGAAGATGCTCTACTCCCCAAAAGTCTTCGCCCTTTTCTTTCCAAGGTGGAAATGGTATCCCGACAACACGACGGAATTTCCATTCACCCGTGCGGGCCCTCTGTACCACTCGATCGCACGCGTCTACCAGAGGCTGAAAAAATTCAGGTGGAACCATATCATCCACTATCACATAACCATCCTCCTCAAAAATCTGTTTCACTGTTCTCTGATTGTACATTGGATCCATGGTACTTATGATGCGTAATTGTGTTGATTTCACTTCAAAAAGAAAACAAGCAAAGATATGTATCTTGATGTTGATATATTGCAGCTAGCTAAAATCTGTTTTGTTTTCATTTATATGCATGGTCTTAACAATCATTAATAATAAAAAGTGCTGCTGTGGTTTCTCACGCTCGAATTGTAATCAATGAATTAACAATTCAAGCATACAATGATAAAAAATTCTTCTAAATATTATTTGAACTTCTGCACTAGATTAATCGGTTGTCAACATTTGATTACTCTTTTAATTTTATGAAGCGTTATACGGAAGAAAGAACGAAGTAGAGGAACACTCAGTGCTGGTGGCATAAATATATGTGCCAGACGTGACAGAAGAACAACATCAGCTGATGAGCTGTATGTAAAAACAGCGAGCAGCAACTTACTCGTTCCCCAAAATCTTTTTTGTCCTTCTCGTTTGCTATTTTATGTACCCATGTCCTTTCTTGTCTTTTAAAGCATGATTTCTGTTTAAAGAAATTGTAAATTTCTATACGATTGTCCTCTCCCTCCTATAATGCGCACATTTTTATTATCAGACAGACATATGACTTTTTTTCGTCAAATGTTGTTCTTTTTGATTAAAAATGATTTTCTATCAACTAGAGAATTATCTTCAAGCAAAAAACTTTTTCTGTCCAAAATTCCTGAGGAGAAGAATTCTTGGTCAAGTTTTTTTTTCTTAGAAAAGTTTTGCATTGTACGTCATTTGATGAAGTTGCACGCGCTGGGTCCGAATATATCATTGATTTTTAATAGAAACGCTTTGCTGTCGAGCATATCATGATAGTGGAAAAATCTGCTATACTGTATGGGAACGATTTCACTAATGTGTGGTATGTGTACCTAGAAAGGATTGGTCTGACAAATAATTTTGAGCAATTAAGTGAATGTTGAAAATGCTTGCTCATTATACTGATAATAACCGTATGAAAATTCATTCGTCGAAAAAAATCCCTCCCGATGTGTTAGCCCGAGCCGGCAACTTTCTCCACTAACAGATAGTTAAATATTTCCTAATTGAAAGTCTACGTGATTTTTCATTTTGAAATTTATTCATTTTAACATTTCAATAGTGCAAGGTGTCTATGATAAGTACCATACTTTTCAGGTTCATTTTTTATTTAATGCCTTTTCTGATGAGCCTTCATATTTGAAACAAAACGTTTGCTACTAATAAACAACCCGTAGATTGGAGTATATTAGTTACCATAAAAGTTAGGAGAAAATGTGCTTTCGGTTGTTTTTTGTTCACTTCATCTTATAGTCTAGACTACCTTCTATCAAAATATGTGCAATGAAATTTAAAATGAGTATTCGACAATGAAGTATTTCCACCACCAGGAAAAGAAACTCGACTATTGCTTTGAGTTATTATTTCACTCAGTTTCAGGCATTAATAGTTTAAAATACTCACATGGCCTAATGGTAGATAGTTATCTGCAGGAGCAGCAACTGAAAAGAGTGTTTACAGTAAACAGACGATAACAACTGTGCGCTCAAAGTAAATATCCACAGAATGAATAGTAAAACGTGCATGAATGTCTTTATATTATTCTCTGTCGGACTAGAAAAAAGCAACTAGACAACATAGGCCAACACAACACTTTTATCATAAATATCTTGCAGAATTGCAAGAACTTCGTTTATCAGAGTTTGGCGATAAAGCAAACGGTTACTTGTTTTTTTT